TAAATAGCAGCACTGATAATAAGGAAGTGAGGGAAACACAGTAGTGTGGGACTATATCTACTAGATGTTAGAAAATGTCTTAAATCTTTGCCTTTTAAAAAAATAGCTGCTATAAACTAAGTAACAAAAAAAGTGAGAAACAGAATTCCAGAATGAATTACTGGAAACTTGCTACTGAGTCTCATTGTCAAAACATAATTTCCCCTCACAGTATGAGGTCCAGATCTAGTGATTCTTTACGTGAAAGTAAACTTCAAAAAAATTTGCTTGAAGGATATAATGCCATTTCCTTTATTCTATAGATTAATAAATTGATGGCCCTTCTGCGTCTTAAGTTTTCTGATGAATCACTTCAGTTCTACATTTTTACATGTAATATGAACAGATATAAAACAGATAAATTGTTTAAAAACTCTATAGAGCCACAGACTTTTTAGTGTGGTTCTTCAATGAAGGGATCCAGTGACCTAAATCCAAGTGGCCCTTAAAGCCTGGGAATCAATATAATATTCTAATTTAACAAACAGCCTTGTCACACCTTATTTTTTGATAAAATGAGAAGAGAAAAAATCAGTTCCTTTTAAAAAAGTGTTATTTTTTTTTTTTTTAATTTTGAAATAATGGGATATCAGAATTAGGGGCTAAAAGGAAATCTTATATTTTGATTTAATTCCTAACTATTTGAAAATCAACACAGAAAATATGTCATTCTTAATAATAAGCACTCATTGTTAAAAAGTTTTTAAAAGTACCATATACCCCTATATATAATGTTCTATTCCTAAACATAAAGGATAGTGAAAATATCTTCAAACCCAGAATTAATATTAAAAAAAAAAAATAAGAGGGATAAGAACAAACTGAAAACTTGCCAATAAATAAAGCACTCTAATTGCTCAGGCACAGAAGCATTTTGCAAACAAAATCTATGGAAAATTGTATAGCGACATGAATGGCAAGTATACAAACCCTGGGGAAAAGCAATTCTACTGATACATGACCTCTCACCAAGACCTCTTTAAAATCAGCTGGAAATCTAGGAGGACACTTTGTTATTTCTCTTTTCCATTAGACCATGTTGAAGGCTGCACTTGAGAGGTGGTGGAAACATCATCTGGACTGCAAGAGATGCTCTTTCTCTCTCTTTTAGATGTAGAAGGAAGAGTTGCATGTATACATCACATTTTGGCCTCCACCAAATAGATTTATCCATAGACAATATGAGGTTATCATCACTATAATTTTAAAGGAATTTATAAATGGTGAGATTTATAATTCAAATGTTTGTGTTTTGAGAAAATGGCTTTAAATTGTGTTATAAGATTTAAAAGTGCTGGTGTTGTAGTTGGGCTAGTGTGTTTAATGCAATGCATGGATCTATCAATGACAGGTGAGCATACCTGGCTAGTTTTGAAAACTTTCTAATTTCCAGACTCCTCATCTTTAAGAGAATTAAAAATACTATTAAGCTCTAAATATATAGAAACACATAAAATACATGTGGAACCTATAAGACATCAGTTGATAATATTATAAGTGCTCAATAGATAGCAGCTATGATAACAGAGTGAATCACTTTTTATTTAGGGGCATGGATTACACCAATCTCATGAAACTAGAATTATGTCCAGCTTTGCATTTTCAAGATAAATCCACATAGTTTAGAAATATGACTAATTCATGCTATTGTCTCAGCTCTCCAGTAACATTTTACTTACACTATAAAAAAGTTCTCATTTACCATACATCTCCTAACACTATTTGTCCTGATGTTTTACATTAAAATGTAGGATATTCTGAAGATTTATAAAACAGACTGGTGTTGGAGCATGGGAAATTTAAGCCCTTCTGTGACATTTACCGTTTTGGAGGGAATCTAAAATACCATTTCTAAAACCACACACTAACGAATGTACCTGGAAGGACATTGTAGGTAAGGAAAAACTCATGCCACAGAATACAGTCTTCTGATTTTAAATGTGTTCTGTTAATTTTCCTTATGAACATTCAATGTCAAACAGTGTTATGTGCCTGCCTCAGAATTGTTTTAAAAGTCTTAAATCCTTGAAGAACTGAACTACTGTGTTGCTCATTATGGTGACCTTTTCTTTTAAAATGTGCTAAAGAACAAAGATAACAGCAAAGTCTCAAACTGCCACCAGGAAGGGCAATGGTGCAAAGAAAAAACGGGTAATTTTTACTTATTTTTTTAAAAAAATTTCCCGAAATAGTAACAGCATGAAAGTTGAAACATTTAGGGAAATCATCAGAGTCACATAAAGAGGACAGAAAGACTGAAATCTGAAGAAAGCCCCAAAGTCAGGGAGAGGAGTGTTTTAGCTACACAATTAAGGCATACATAATATACTGTTGCAGATAAAACACAATTTACAGTTAAAACTACCGTGAATTTAAGAAGCACATCAGGGAGGTTAATAAATAATGGAGTACTTATCAAAACCTTTATTTGTAATAGCAATATGTATCTTAAAAATATATGCAAATTTAACTTTAATGTACAAACAAATGCATTTAAAATTGACTGTTCAAAATATGGTAATAAGAACTACTGATAATGACAACTGATTTAATTTTTCAGCTCACTTTGTGAGTATACACACATTCCTTTAAAATAATGCTGATTTCAATATTTCAGGACTTGATTTTGATCTGTAATGTGAAAAGCATGCTCAAAATAATGTCTCTTTGCCTCTCATGAGTCAGGGAGTTTGAGCAAGGGCTATTGTCACTACTTTATGGGACAGGGGGCTGAGACATAATTGTTGAATGACAAAGGATAATTAAATATAGAAGTTTTTATGGCAAATCCTGAACATTTTTTCTTCTTTCTAAATAACTTTTTGTATTGAAGTAAATTTAGATAATAAGAAAAGTAGCCAAGATAGTATAAAGAATTCCTGAATATTCCTCTGTACCAATACTATCATCTTGCATTACAATGAGCAATTTGTCAAAACTATGTCTTAACAAAACACGATTGCATTCAGTATTTATTTTTCACTACTGCCTTTTCTGTTTCAGGTTTCAATACAGAATAATATTTAATATTTATAATAATTACCCATTAAGTGACATAGAACCCTAAATTTTGTCACCGTAAACCAAAAGGACACTTTGCTTTCCACTGCCAAAAGTTTTTTAACAATTTGGAAGTTCTTTGTCTGAACAAAGAAAGGGTTGGTTTTCTAATAATTAATGAATATTTTAATGCTAAAACAGTCTTAAAATTTGTTTGTTAAGGAGTTGTAAGCATAAAATTGATCATTCATTTAATATAGAGATTTGGTCTTTTGTAATTCCATCAAAAAAACTTTTTTTCTTACAACAAAGCTGCATGAAATAGGAGTGTGAGAATAAATAAGGTATGAGACTATAAAAATGTTTTAAGGCATTATTGAGAACATTTAAAATGTGGTGAATATATTTCTGTGTCTCTTAATGCATTATTGTTTTCCTGCCCATGTCCTTAATCTAAGTCTCACAGAATCTTGCCACAAACTTATTATAACCATTATAAGTGAAACCTGAGGCTTTGAGAATTTTACGAATTTTGAAGTAAATGTTTAATGCCAAAAAAGTAAAAAGACTTGAATTTGAGTTCAAATCTGCAAGAGTCGGGAGCTAACATTCTTATTTATGTCATTTTATTGTCTTTCCTGCTTCGGCCCTGGGCTAAGCAGACCACTACTGTAATTACATGTTGATTTTAATGTTAAATAAATGGCTGCTGTCTGGTCCAATGATCTTGTAGGTTTGGTTGACATTCCTGTTCTTTTGGTGACAATTTTTAACTGAATATGGAGTGTATAGTACAGGAAACATTTACAGATGTCTAAATCATTGGGAAATAATGAAAATAGTCATTTTAAAGTAAGATAAAGTATAAATTCTAACATACTCAGTTGTATATTTTTAAATCTCATTGACATTTTAATGACATTTCAGGTAACTGTCATTCATAAAAATCAATTCATTTATAACACACTAATTCTATAAATCTTTTATTCACCTATTTAACAGGCTTATTCTTATGAATACATGTTCACATATATACACACACCCTATTGGACATATTATTAGACATATCAGTTACACATGCAGGTGAGGACACAGTCACCCTTCAAGACTGTGTGTAAAATAGAAAATTAAATCAAAATCAGGAATCATTATCCAGGTGAAACATGAATTCAACTTCTGATTACATATCATTTATTTATTTTTTCCTTCATCAAGATGCCTCTTTCACACATGAACAAAGAAATGAGAAGTGTTAAGATTTACAGGGTGGATGGAGCCTCTATAAAGGTCACCCCTACTTTGAGGTCCTTGCTATAAATAAAAAATCCCCACCTCTTTCAATGTTGATTCTATGATAAGGACTTGCATGGGACATGAAGGTTATGTGTTAAAATCCCACATCTAACAACCATTGTTGACTTGAACTTAAAATCTTTAAGAATGAACCTCTCATCAATGACATAAGATAATAAGACCCAGCACAGATAACTTCCAGCATTATATTATTTACTCATCCAGACGGCACTGATATTTTTTTTTATTTTTATAAACATTTCAAAATGATGAGTAATTTAAAAAAAAACACATAGTCTGTACTTTTATATGTGCTAAGTGTAGAGTTAAGCTCCTTTGCATAGGTATTTCTCTTTTATAAGAAATGAGTTAATTCACTTAAAGTTCCAATTCAGTACATAGGTTTAAAGAAATATTTGGAGAGTAGCCATGGTTTTCGATGGCATCTTAACTGCCTGTTATTTCTTCTCTTGTATCTACGGCAGTCTTCTGATGAAGGATGGCATCAACTAACCCCAGCTCCTGTTCCATGCTATGCAGGAATGCTTTTCAGTAATTCACTTCAGGAAGCCACCACTGCTTAATCAAAGCTGGCATTTGAGATTAAAAACTACTTCTCATATATAAGGCAACTGTCACCCATATTGATGACCTTTTCCTTCAAAGTTATGCCAAACCAAAGTATTGTAACTGAGTTTGTGCTCCTGGGGCTTTCACAGAATCCAAATGTTCAGAAAATAATATTCACAGTATTTTTGTTTATTTATATTGCAACTGTTAGGGGCAACATGCTGATTGTAGTGACCATCCTATGCAGCCCTGCACTGCTGGGCTCCCCCATGTACTTCTTCTTGGCATTCCTGTCCTTCCTGGATGCCTGCTTCTCCTCAGTCATTGCCCCCAAAACAATTGTGGACTCCCTCCAGAAGAGGAAAACCATCTCCTTTGAAGGCTGCTTGCTGCAGATCTTCGCTGAGCACTTCCTTGCTGGGGCAGAGGTGATTGTCCTCATATCCATGGCCTATGACCGCTATGTGGCCATTTGCAAGCCCTTGCACTACTCTGTCATCATGAACTGGAGGCTCTGTGGCATTCTGGTGGGGGTGGCATGGACAGGGGGCTTCTTGCATTCCATCATACAGATTCTCTTTACTTTCCAGCTGCCATTTTGTGGCCCCAATATCATCGATCACATCATGTGTGACTTGTACCCATTACTGAAGCTGGCCTGCACTGACACTCACATCTTTCGCCTCTTGGTGATTGCCAACAGTGGGTCTATCTGCATTATCATATTTTCCATGCTGCTTGTCTCCTATGGTGTCATCTTTTTCTCTCTGAGAACCATTAGTTCTGAAGGGCGTCAGAAAGCTCTGTCCACCTGTGGATCTCACATTGCTGTTGTGGTTTTGTTCTTTGTCCCATGCATATTTATGTATGCACGGTCTCCATCTGCCTTCTCCTTTGACAAAATTGTGGCAATATTTTGCACTATGCTAACTCCCTTGCTCAATCCTTTGATTTACACTTTTAGGAATAAGGACATGAAAAACGCCATAAGAAAAATGTGGAAGAGATTGGTGGCATTTTCTGATGAAAAATAAAGCATTAAACTTTTTAAATATTAAAAGCTAAGTGCAAAGAAGTCACTATTGTCTCAGAAAAAAATATTTTGTGTGGATTGATGGCATATAACTCCAGGAAATGCATGGGGAGGGCAGTCAGGAAATAATATGTCTACATTCTGATTGCTCAATTGAAACCCTGAGTTCCAACTCAGTATCCTCATGTGTAAATTAAAAAGAGTTGAATTTTATGCTTATATAGAATGTAGTCATCAAGGACGAAAAGAATGAAAAGATAAGTTACCATCAATATGTGTGCCATTAACCCAATATTTTGAAAAACCTTGTGGAGGGAAGAAAAGTTTCATAAGAAACAGAAATTTAAAAGATTTCAAGTAAAACAAATGCTTATATTTAGGACGAATAATCTCAGCAACTGAGAAAAAAAAATAATCAACACCCAGCAAAGATAGTGAACCAACTATTTCCAGAACATTAGCTATATATCTCCCTAGATCACAGGATTTCCTTATTCAATAATTCCATTATCATCTTCTACAGAAGCTGAGTCACTTCTTGGATTTTGGGACATACTATCTGATTGTACAGTCCTCCTCAGGGATGAATTTTTCTTGGGTCCAGTTGACTAACTCTTACCTATCAGCTTGGGAGAAGAAGAGAAGGCAAAGTTCATAAGAGAGTCATCAATGAACATCACTTCTGTGTATCAAAAAGGGAAAATTCTTGACAAACCATGATATTAGCAAAGCCAATTCCAAACCTGGCATTAGAGTAACTGATGTTTTTCCTCCTAAGGAAGATAATAGAAGCCAAGGTCATCTGAAAGTAGTAAGAATTACTTTTCAATTTACTTAGTGATTTGAATTTTTTACCCAAGTAAAAATAGTTCTATTGGAACAATATTCAAGATAGAGGTTATTCAAATTTAGACACATTACATGTCATTACCATAGCTAAACTTTGTTAGTCTAAGGTTGCTAAGCATCTTATGGAATAAACTCATTTAAACAGCTTACCCTAGAACATCAACATTAATAAAATGTTTATTATACAAAGTCAAAGTATCGTCACTGAGTTTGTGGAAGAAAATATTAAATAATATTCTTGTTAGCCTTTCCTTCATCTTTCATGATGGTCCTAAAGTAGACAAGTACATGTTGCTAGTTTCAGAATAGGTAGGGCAGAAGAAGGATTTCATTACTGTCTCTTGGGCAAGGGTATGAGTGATTAACACCAGAGTCTAAAACAGCATCAAGACAAAGCATGTTCTCTACAGCAGACCAAGGGCCCCCAAAGGCATGGGCATAGCAGGGTACTTTTCCTTGCTTTTGGTACTGGGGATTGAACTGAACCGCATCCCTAGTTCTTTCTATTATTTTTTTTCTTTTGAGACAGGATCTCACTTGGTTCCTTAGGGCCTCTTTTATCCTCCTGCCTCAGCCTCCTGAACTGAAATTACAAGTGAACCCCAACAGGGCCATCCAGGATCCAAATTCTTGACAACTAGATCAAAGAGCTGAGTGAGTTTCAAGAGGTTAGGAAGCAGATAAAAGCATTTATTAAAAGCAAAAGCACACTGTGGGAGCACAATATTCCCTTTGACTCCTTTCATTGGGGTCCCCCTCACTGACTCTATTTTCAGGCACACATTCAAGGCACATTCATTGGAACTACTAGTTTTCCAACCCTAGAAGTTTAAGAAAAGTACTACAGATATCCTATTAATATAAGACCTTTAGACATGTAATTATGAGATTGGGATTCTTGAATCAGGTCTATTACTAAGTAACTGTGGGACCTTGGGTGAGTAATTTCAGTACTGGGTCTTAATTTCTCATTTTGAAGATGGACTAATGAGAATATACAAATACTTTTCTGTACTCATCTAAACCAAAGGTTTTCTTTTTCTTTTCATAAGTTGTATCTTTTAAACTTATATATAAATCTCTTAAAGATATGTCTTCATGCCCCCTTTTAATTGATGAGGAAGCTGTGTTTCAAATATTTTATGGGACACATCATAAATCCTTCTAGATATTTTTTCCAGCACATCAGTAAAAGCAAGACAGATGTTGGGGTGTGATGTTCTCTGAGATGTTTCTCTTATACCTTGGGTTTGCTGGTTGCCTCTATGCTCTTCAGAAAAATCATAATGCAACCTATTCATGTCATTTGCCTGCCCTAATCCTTGTCCCTCTCCTCTCTTCTCTCACCATACTCTGGACCTCTCCCTGCATCCTCATTGCAGACATCTAGCCAGGCAATGACATACTTAGCATCTCTGTGCTGGTAGAGACGTGGTCTTCAAGACAGACAAGTGATTTTGTAATGTAATCTTTCCATCTTCAACATCTTGTCAGATACAGCTCTTTCCTGTGAGTGGAAAAGCACATATCTTTAAGATAAAATGAATATCCCCCATGCAAGTATCAATAATGTTTTCCCCACTTAATTCTTATCTTCTCTACATCATTTAAAAACATAAACCAGATGTCAAGAAATGTGAGAAATTAACATTAATAACATTCAAATGAACACTTTTATATTACCAGCTGAATTTTACAAAGTAGGAAATTGAAAATTAAAGAACTTAAGATAGTTGCTTAGACTCACATGGCAGATAATTAGTGGAACCAGGATTCAGACCCACCACGGAGATAACATGAAACTGGCTTCTAAAGACTTTCTTGCATCTAAAAGAGGTGAACTTAGGCAAATTATATGGAGAAAAGAACAGTTTACACACCTTCAACTCAGAGTATGTTGGAGTTTAACTCACTGAGCCTAAGGCCTGATTTTGCCCTTGTTCTGTCTCAGCAAGGTATTCTACTGGATGTCCTTCATGTTTGGGTTGGAGGGTGTGGTTTCCTTGGGGGTCCTGAAGGTACAAGCCTGCCTTAAGCATCTGCAAACTTATGGTAATTAATATAAATAGTCAATGCAAAAAGAGAACAATATTTAACTCATATAATTTCAAAAGAGAAAATATGAGAAGAGAGTGAACTTCAGAGGCCTTTCTCTCTCAGAGTACAAGAATAGTTTCTTCCACCCAGGGATGCCTCACTACTGAGCTTCATCCCCACCTCTTTTATTTTTTTATTTTTTATTTAGAGACAGGGTCTTGCTAAGATGCTTAGGGAGTCACTAAGTTGCTGAGGCTAGCTTTGAACTTGTCATTCTCATGCCTCAGCCTCCCAAAGGCTAGGATTGTAGACATGTACCACCTTGCCTGACTCTTCCATAGCATTTTTATAAAATAAATGTAAAAACATCTCCTGGTTTTCCTGTCCCTCTCCCCACTCTAAGATAGACCATGTCGTTTCATCTCCCCCTCGTTTCTGGAGGAAGCTTGTGAAGTATGCCCACATGCCAAGTACCCTCTCTACATAAACAACCTACATATACTTGCTTATGAAAGAAAGTGTTGATAAATCTCAGAAAAATACAGTTTGAGTATTTTCCCCAGCCTTTATAATACCTTCATTCCAAATAAATTAAAGTGGAACATATGAAGTGTACTTTAATGACAGTCATTTATAAGAGGCAAGATTTTCAAGATTTTTAAAAATATTTTCTTCATGTTTCTTCTTCAAGACTGAGCTGATTTTCTGATGGCATCTATCTCAGTGTGTCTTCCAGGAAGGTGGAGCTCCTGGGGGCAGGGAGTTCTACCCATAGAGAGTAGGTGGCCCTGGGTTTCTCTGGCCTCAGCATGAATCTTCACTGTCCCTACTATTCCTCTCTGTTCTCAGGGGTAAGATTAAACTTCACCATGACATGGAGGCCAGCCTGTAGAACTTTTTATCTTGGTGGAGGAGTGTCTCCTCACCTCATGTGCAGAGTATATAATCAGTGTAAGGTTTCTGTGACCAGGTATGTGATAGGACTCCACTACACCCCTGGGCTTCAGGACCCTTGGTGATCCTTGCTTATGATCACAAGCACATTCCCTCTGATTTGGGGGCAAGAGTTATTGCAGTGGGTCAGGAAGAGAGAGGTTAACCTCTGATGCAGTCTTGGTTCAACCTACCCCACTTATATTAGTGTTCACCTCCCCTCTGTATATCTTTCTGTATCCCACCCATTCACTCTCCTGAGGTCTGTTCATTTTCCTCTCTCCTGTAATAATTCATTGACTCTTTCATTCCTTTCTCGCTATTATTCATTAGATATTTTATTTGCTGCCTTTGATAATTGTCTCATCCTGCAGCTTGCAAATCTTAATTTGGGGGTCTAGACAGGAAATTAAGGTGTTTACTGTCAACAGTTTCTAACAGTTCAGGATTTCTCTTTTTTGGAAATTAATATACATGGGTGTTTATGATTTGATGATTTATATGATATGAATGAGAGAGAGAGGGACAGTCAGAGAGAGGCTATTTAATAGCATGCTATCCCATTTGAGTTCTAGTGTGACTGTGCCTGGTTAAACTCTGCATTACAAGTCAAATGTTGTACATTAAAAAATAATAATAACTCATCAAATGATGCATTTACCTAGCAAGAGAGTGGGCAGGTCAAATGAAATGGTATTTGTGAGCATTTGCTTAAATTACAAGATTGCACAACAATAATTATATATAATATAGAGTTGCCTTATTCAATTCAATCAATATTTTAAAGCACATAGTAAGTAATATAGGAGCACAAGACAAAGAAGATGTTTGTTTCTCTGCAAAGAATAAGAGAAGGCTTTTGGGACCAGATTTAATGTGAACTTGTTAAGATATCAACAGATACAAATATAGACTAAAGATTAAAGAGGAAAAAACAGTGTTTTTCTTCTGTAATTATTTATAAAAATATTGATACAACCAAGGAAGATTGTTTGATAATAGTTACCAATATTTATGAAAATATTTCTGTTTTACTATAGCAATGCATTGGAAATTAATTTGGATGGAATTGTTAGAAATAAAGAAAAGGCTATAAATGATAAGCTTATTTAAAAGCTTTCTATGACAGTGAAAGCTTGAAAATAAACAAAAATAAGTAAAATTTGACTCTAAATTTTTGTT